GTATATTCATTGCTGGTTATTTGCGTTTTAACTTTAGAGTAAATATTTTAAGGGGATTTTTTTTAATATATGAATACAAAGTAGTAAAGCCACCATTTCAGGTGAGAGTATATTTTAGCTTACACTAAGTATTTATGAAATAAGTGTTAATAGACTGTATTTATGGTTTAATTCCTTCACATAAATATGATACACTAAAACATGATTTTTTTTGTCTAATTAGTACTATGTATTATACAAATATACAATATCTCTTAAATTAAAACCTCTGAAAATTTAAAAGTATAACTCTTCTAATTTTTAAAATCAATCATTAATTTATTTTTATTTTTATGAGTTAACTATTGTATTTTTTGAAGAGAATATAAATATTTATTTCTAACTTACGTTATAANTTTTTGAAGAGAATATAAATATTTATTTCTAACTTACGTTATAATCAGTAGCAAAATATTTTACCATTGTAAATTATTCATTACCTTATTACTAAATAAAAATATTTTAATGACGAAAAATAAGACTATGATATATTTAATTGTGAATATTTAGTACTACTAAATTCCACAAATATTCCTTTGTATAATTTTTTTCTTCATTTTTTAACAAAAATATATATAGCTCAGTAATAACTCTAACAATTTTAATTGTTTTTTTTTAGAGCCAAACGTTCACATTGTGTACAATAGTTTTAATAATATTATGTTAGGCTCAGTAAACATTAAAAATTTATGCGGCAAAAACAAAAAATAAAATATCTCTGATTACAAACAGTTTGTAAAAATTATGTTTTAAATATTAACAACTCATTAAATGTACACACAATAATTCATTATTTTTGCTAAAGGGTTTTATACCCGTATATTGTATATAAATAAATAAAACTTTTAATTGATTAACTACAAATTTTAATATTACTATTTAATTACGTTAAATATTAACGAGCATAATTATAACATTTAATAGAAAAATTATTTTTTTATAAAATAAAGTATAATGAGTATTTAAAAATAGTTTTGTTTACATAATTGAGGTATTTTAACTTTTTTGACTTTTCATTCATAATACATTAACTTTAATATCCTAACCAAAAAGAAATTTGAAAGTAAAGTGTTAACAGTTAATAAATACATCGAAGGAAAATGGTGTTGTGCTATTTCGATGTTTCGTGGTTGTCTACTCGTTTTTGGGACTTATTTGGAGTACATATATATAATTTTCATACAAAGAAGATCCAATTATTTTTTTCAGGGGCATTGCTGTTAACTTGTATGTATAATTTTGTTTTTGCGTCACGTGTGATAAGTGTTCTATTAAATAAAGAATATGATGGTAGCTTATTTTTTAATACTAGAGTAATAATACCAAGAATAGTAGCATTTCAGTGTTTTTTATCAAGGCTATTGTTACTTTTTAAAATTAAGAAGCGTGAATTAGGAAAATCTAAAAATATTACTACACCGTATGAATCATTTCTCAAAACTTTTCCAGGAGAAGTAAATGGCTTAAAAAAAATATCATTTCAAGTTGTTCTACTAATCGCTATTTTATATCTCCCACTTGACATTTACAAGCTTTACAATATCTTTAATTCAAGCAGTTATTTTGTATTTATTTTCTATTTATTTATGAATTTTCAACACATCAGCTCATTTTGCTTGGAATTGGGATTTTTCATGCATTGTTATTCGATTTACATAAAAATGAAGTCTGTCAATGTGGATTTAGAGTATC